ATGGCAATGATGAATTAATAATAGTCAGAAGAGGATCTATGACTTCTGGAAGCACCTCTTTTAGGAGCTTAGATGGAATAGGGTCTAACATACATGTTGTTGGTTTAGATGATTTAACAAGTTTATACAATTCTTCCTCTCCTATAGTAGAGAATGAGTGGAATTGTTCCTCAGGCGATCTATAGCAAGCTATCTGATGTGATACTATAGCTGACGTCTGCATGGTTACAATTTTATCTCTAATAGTATCGATCTTGGAAGTAAAGTAGTTCATAAAGTCATTACTGCTGTGCTGTTGGGAAATGTCAACACCTGTTGATGCTTTATTTTTCGTTAGTTTAGCCACTGTGTTGAATAAATACTTGGGGTTATGTTTGTTTTCTTCTAAAAGAGAAGAAAAGTAATCAGATCTAGCAGTTTTTAATGCTTTTCTGTAGGACAGGTTACTTTCCCACCAAGCAATACGAAATACCTCTAGTTTTGTTTTCCTCCAGCTGCGCTCCATTTTCCGGGCTGCTCTCTTTAGGGTGCTCTCATAGGAGAATCCTGGCATTAAAATAAATCCTGGCACTATGCTATATTTATGCTATCTGGACACAGAAACAAATGAAATTTAACATCTTCAGCAGAAAGGAAGATTTTCATTGAAAAAAAAAAACTTAAATTGAATCGTGTTCCTCATACAAATATATCATATGACTTCAGAAGACTTATATATAGTGCTAGTTGTATGGATAACTACATTTATTCATGTAGGATTATGAGTAAGGGTCAAATTTAATAATTCATTGCGGTTTCTATAACATCACTTCCTGAATGGTTAATACTGTGCAAGCCACTGAGGTTGGCACTGGTGTTTAGTAATTAGGCTAGGGAATACTTTCATCCTGTCTGCCTTTGTCAGCCAGTTCATCTATAATACTCTGCAAAATGTGTATTTAAAGACCTGCCAACCAAGGTCATCTATCATTTTCTGAATAGTTATTTGTCAGTGTTACCAATAAGGCTGTGTATACACTGCACAGGCCCTACCGCAGCATAATAACAGAATTGCTGTATCCTTCAGCAAGTGCATGCTGCTGGCAACTGTGACCAAAACGAAAGCCATTAGCTTGGAGGTGATTGATTTGCCGAGAAGAGATCTTTCATTTCACCCATCACGGGGTTGATGAAAAATAAGAGTTGATTTGAAGGACAAGTAGTAGAGCAGAACTCAATTGGCAAAACTGTGAATTTTGGCACAGTGAATGTGAGCTCATGGGGGGTTGATCAGCCTGCTCAGCTTCACACGCTGCAAGCCACTCATCTCAAATGACAAAATGATGTGTCCTTTTACTCTCCAGCAACATTTGAATAACATATGATAAGAGGGAGAGTGTGCTGACATTGAACTTCCTGCTATTGAACTCACAATACATGTCAAGTACCAGCCCCTTCTTAATGCTGATGGACGGACCGTCGAGTTTGTGTTGCTCAGCATGTGGTCAGGCACATACGGGCTTCTCTCTTGTCTTTCGCTGGCAAGGGAGAATGATAAAGCGCCTTATGCGTATTCATTAAGAGACACTACTGTTTCCCTGTATGTTCCTGAACTCAGAGCTCCACCCTTGCAGGACATGAGCAAATCCACACTGTGAGTTTTGGTTTTGGAATCACGTGACCTCTGATGATCAGATGCCTTTGGGGATTCTAGAATAATTTGCCTGGTGAAAAGAACACACTTTGCTTTGCCCTTAATTAACAGAGAAGTCAAAGCATGTTCAAAAAGCAGAACAGCAGTGACCTTCAGGAGAAATAAAAAGATAATTAATTAACATTTAGAATGGCGTACCAACTGGATTGTTCCGAATTTAACAATATTACTTTAGACCTGAAACGTTTGCCTGGACATTTTTTATCCCTGAAAATGGATCATATTAGTTTTATCAAGAATTGATGTGTCTCCTGTATGACTAAGTCAGAATCACCAGATAAGTAATACATTTTAGTATACGGGATTCTTTAGCCACATTATCGCATTCTTGGTTTTGGTAAATGGTATTGTTTCTGCATTCAGGTTCACTTATAATGCTGTAGAAGAGTTTAATTTAGCACAAACTGGTTTGCTTATTATAAAAGGGATTGAACATTTTGAATACACCATTGTGGATTGTGATATCTTTTTGTAATATGTTAAAGGGGACATCGGATTTTTTTGCATTTTAGTTAGGTTTCTGGCATGTCTGCCAGCTCAGAGAAGTTTAAAAGAAAACACGCTGCCAGTTTGTTATGGGCTGTCTGAGTCTGAAACTGTGTCACCCATAGAGCTGTTTCAATTTGCAGCCGGTTCTACATAGATAGTCTCACGTAGCCAGACCTTCAGACTGACAGCAGAAGGTCTGGGATCCATGGCCGCTTTGAATAGCCAAGGACCGCCCAAGAGGCCATATGACTGACAGGTATAGCAACCAATCACATTTCGTTTTGTGCCGCGTCATGTTTAGGTGCGTAGAAATGTCCCCACAATAACAGACCGGTGTGTAAAACTCTTGGACGTATTTTAAAGAGTCTATGCTGTGAACTTTACATATTTCACATACTTTTGAAAATTCAGCGTTTAGCTGATCCTGATAAGCGCTTGTCACAGTTGTAAACATGACAGCTTTCTTCTTCCATGAGGGGGTTTGGCGTCACGGCATCTTTGGTGGAACGTTAAAGAGCAGGTCATATGGTATTTTAAAGTGTCCTAATATTGTGTCGGAGTCCCCTACACTGTAAAAAATTGTTCTGTAAAAAAACGGTAATGTGCTGGCAGCAGAGTCTCCAGCAATCTACTGTAATTTTACAGTATTCATACTGTGAAATGATTTTACAGTTTATTACCGTAAAAATGAAATTTTTGAAACCGTGAAATTTTCAAATCACGGTATACCTTGAAACCGGTAATCGGCCCATGCCTACTGTAATGTATGAGGAACGACAGACAAAAGATGCTCGGTCTTAACTTTTTAACGCAGAACAGCTGTATCACAGGCGCACCAGCCTAACTAACTCGCTCGTCTCTCCTGCATTAACCCTATAACGGCCGGTGCAGCAAAATAAACAGCAATTTCACAATGATAATAAAGTCTGTGTGCTACACTACATTCTTTATTATTAAACGAAGTAATTATTAGAACAACGTCAGTCTACATTAATCGACACATTCTTAGGAAATAGTGGGTTCAGAGCGAATTATCAGAACTATTTCAGTAAGACAGTAATATCGTGCTTTACCTGGAAACCTAAAGCTGCACTAGGTATACATCACATATTAGCACAAAAACTTGATTTTTTTGAGCACTCAATTGAAAATGTACACAATGTATCAATCGTACTTACAGGTTGTGGTTCGGAGAGCTTGTTAGTCCAAATTAAGAAGATTAGAAGCCAAGGAAGATAAAAGCCAAGATTAGGGGACTTTAGAGTGAGCAGGGCACGTGTGTGCCATTATGTAGTTGTTTGGAATGCACTTGGCAAAGGGAGCTATGTAATTTCTTCATTATCTTCAGCTGGGATGTTCCCATGCAGATTCGCTGATGGACACCGGCATAAAAAAAATACACATTTTATATTTTAAAAAGTTTTATATATATCATTTTTTTTATATATTATATAGCATATTTTAAAAACTTTTTAAAATATAAAATGTATGTTTATTTGAAACAGTTATGCTAACAACAATAAAAATAAATTTATGACATTAAAACAGCGACATCTGTTGACGGACACCGTGCTGCGTTGTCACGGGAACATCCCAGCTGAAGATAATGAGGAAATTACATCGCTATTTGGCCAATCACAACACACTGGATAGCTGGCCAATCAGAGCACACCTCGCTTTTCAAAACGACGAGCTTTGTAAAAATCGACGAGAAACAATAATGTACAGTATGTGGAAAATAATGTGTTTTTTGAACCTTAAACTGCATAAACACATTTCATTACACCAAATACACAAAATAATGTTCTTTTTTAGCAACGTCATATGACCCCTTTAAAATATTTTATGTATCCCTCCATGGCATATTTAATTCCCACTTGAATGGTGGCTCTTCTGTGTCCAAAATTGTTCAAAAACATCCTGGGACAAGGTTTTCATACTGACAGCTGTCATTGTAAGAGAGTGAGCAGCTCCATTTGTTTGTCCGAGGGAGCAACAGTAACGAAGGGGGCGGGGCTTACCGATAGGTCAATTAAAAGAACTGCCCTTCAGTCATATTGTGCTGATAACTGGTCCGTTTTGTTCATATGTTTCCATTAACCATGGAATAAATATTGGGTGAACAACTGTATACATAATTAGGCCTAATGTAGTGAATAGTGAACGAGGGTATAGGGGGAGATTTCGGATTCAGCCTATGTTATGAGGTGGAAAAAATAATCAAAAAGTGAGACAAAATGGCACAGTTTGAATGGATTATCTAATAGAATCAGTTAAGGTTCAACAATGGCCGTCGCAACTGTGGAAAGCTAGTTGATCCTGCGAAAAAAAAAAAAAAACGTAATATACACTTTAAAAATTATGCAGAACAGCTAGAAAACACATGTAAAAAAGCTCTTATTCCCGGTTTCCGTGGCCGTGCAACCTTATACATTAATATGCTCTGTAATAATGACATACCGTCATATGCCAACAGAAAAAAGAAAAGGAAAAAAAAACTCACGTAGACTACACACACTTACCACCTTTTTTCGTTTGCTAGCTTCAGGCAGAAGGTAAAAAAAGGCGGCAGTCACGCGCGTGTGTGTGCGCTTGGTGCACGGAGGCGGGGGTGAAAAAGGCGGCAAGCGCGTGAAGGGGGATGAGAAAAGCTCGTGTGCGCTGCACTCGTAGTCGACCGGTGTCGGTTTCCAGGCTGTGATCGGTGTTCTCTGTGTCCGTTTTTCCTTCACTCCTCTCTCTCTCTCTTTCTCTGTGTAATTTAGCAACAGTGACGCACCAATCCTCTGAAGAACGACTCAAATCTCACGTCTAACTGGGATTTTGCTGCATTTCTACCGTTTTCTCCTCAGCATCTTCTCTCTGTGTAACCGTCAGCGGTCTCGTCACAAACTGAATGTCTCTTGCTGTCTGTGGTAATTTGTTATCATGACCACAGCAAAGGAGTCAAATATATCGACCAAAGCAGCTCAACAGCAAGATCAGGTACTGATGTAATTTTTTAAAATTTATGTACTTTGAAGCGATATAGATAATTTATTAATTACAAGAGGTAAATTGCTTTAGCTGAACATGAGGTGATTTATAAAACTGAAGAAAAAAAAAACTAACAATCTTCTAAATTGTCTTAAATGTTTTGTGTAAGCACCAGAAATATTGACAGATGATTATGACCAGACCATTTAATCTTCAAGGAGAACGTGTCCGTCTTTACTAGCCATGACTAACTTCACAGTTTAAAGTAGCCTACTGGTTTAAAGTTATCAGCTTCAGTCAGTTGGAAATTCATATTACAAAGAAGTCTGAAGTCTGTTTATTCTGATTTGCATATGCAAAACTATTTCCATAAAAGCCAAACGATTCTTAAATTAATCGAAATTTCATTTCCTAACATTACCAAGATAGCTGATAAACTATTAAATGACCATTAATGATGTTATATTGTCAGAATTATTTTTATTATTAATTATTATTATTATTATTATATTTTTCCCTGTGTACCTCACATATTGTCTGTTTCCTGTCATACAAAAATAGAACTTGTCCTCATAGTAATAACAAATATTAATGAATAAATAAATAAATAAATACATAATGATGATCACCAGAGATCATATTTGCCACAATATGATCATGAAATGATATACTATTTCTCCTTTCCCAGTGTGAACTGCTTAAATCACATGACTTCCCTCTTTTTTCAAAAGATTAGTCTTGACTACCCCAACAGTGAATGTCTTTGCTTGATTTCAAGAGAGAAAGAGTGGAAACAGGTACAGAAACAGCCACAGGCAATACTGACAGGAACAAAGTGCAGTGCAGGAAAAGCAGTGTGAAAGGTGGGAGCCCCGATAGAGACAGCAGAGAGAGGGCAGGTGAACACGTCAAGGGCTGGCAAACTTTGACAACAGGAACAGTAGATCTTCTGTTCTTCAACTGTTTCCCAAAGGCAATAATCGCCCAAGAGGAAAGTTGAGATTTACATCAAAAGTCATACAGTATACAGTTTAAACACATAATAATTAGGCCTGTCAATTGAACATGTTAATGTAGTGGAAATGATAAAATAATGCAATAAAAATGACAGCATGTAATCATGTCCCATAACCTGTAGGTAGATTCTATAATAATGGATTTTCTTACCATTGGAGCAGTTCAAGCTTGAAGTAGTACACCCTTCATTTATTTGTGAGTCTGCAGTCAGATATTCTTGTGTTCAAAAACAGCTTGTTGGATTGCAGCTTTAACTACTTTTTAGTTGGAACAGTGTTACTGCCTGTCGCTAGATGCTTATAATCAGGGTGCGATTTGTGAAGAAAACTTTTTTTTTTTCTCCATAGGCGGAGGTTGACCCAACTCCAGGGTAAGGCTGTAGCCTAACCTAATGTTAGCGTAATCTGTTAACAATGCACATCATACCTGTCTTTTTAGGCAAGTACCAGAAAATGGGTGTCATGTCGTAAAATATTTTTAATATGACCGAATTTGTATTTAACGTGATCACAATTTAATAAATAACATATTTAGGCCTGTTTGTAACAATTTAATTTCCACGGTTATTCAAACAACGATAAATTTATATAGAGAAAGCTAGCACAGAACATTTAGGCTACATTATCAAAGAATATTATCACAGACTTCAGTCTAGCGAGAGTTTAAAAAACTCCCCGTTATAAAAACACTGAAGCTGTCTATAAACTATGATAAATCAATCTCTTGCTTACATCGTGTGCACATCTGCACTGTTGTTTATGATGAGAGAATTCGTGAGTGAGCAGAATTCAGTCAGCAAGCGAGGGTGCGTGTGCTTAAATAAACTCCAGCATTTCAGCGATGACTCATCTGAACGCTTCTGATTGGCCACTGGAATGATAAGCTCAACAGAAACGTGTGCGATTGGTTAAAATGCGCAACACTTTAAAAACACTTAAAAAAAGAAATGTGATGCAACATCTAAATGCATGATGCAGATCTAAATTTTCTTTTCATTTCATTTTGACTTTATTTGCGACAGCCGTAATAGATTTAGCTTAATTGTGCAGGGGCATTTTTTCCAATTTGATAGCATTTTTGCCCCAAGTCCCTGTTAATTTCCAATCTGTGGCCAGAGCAATGCAAAGCCTCGTCCAGCCTTGCACATGCTCCAGCTGTTACAGTAAGAATTATAGAATAATTATGAATTATTATTTGATCTTGAAAAACTTTGAATAAATAGATTGGATGGGTTATAATGAAAGTAATTTCTTAATTTCTGTCAGCCTGCCAGGAATGCAAGATCATGCAAAATCAATCGGTAATTATTGATATTTTGAATAAAACAACATATAGGCTATAACTGTACATATGCAGTCATGTTTGCTCCCATTTATTTTTAATTAATAATTTAATATAATAATTTATGCATTTAGCAGATGCTTTTATCCAAAGTGACTTACAGTACATTCAGGCTATACATTTTTTACCAGTATGTGTATTCCCTGGGAATCTAACCCACAACCTTTTGCGCTGCTAACGCAATGCTCTACCACTGAGCCACATGCTCTACCACTATTTCTATTCACACGTTTACTTACTGTTATTTTGATAGAAGCATAATTTCTATTAATTTCCATTAATTGTGCAGTCTGATGAGAATGGACTTCAACCACTGTCTGCCTCACGCTTTTATGGGATTGATGACTCATAGACATATAATTCCCTGCAGATCCATCAATCAGTATTGTATGATCATAATTCCCACCTTAACTAACACAGATGAAACATTAAGTTAATAAATATACAATTACAATAGTAAATGGTTTATGTGTGTTACATGCAGTTGGGGTATTTTAAAAATAATAAAGTAGAAATGCTTAACCGGTGTGTTTAGTTTCTATATAAAGCTACACAAAATACATTTGCCTTATAATAATAATAATATATTAAAATCCACATTAGGTCGCAATAAAAAGTTATTGCAAACATTCAAAGTTTTGAAAGAGTTTTGAGGAGGCATGTCATACCGACATGCTGCTGTCATTGTAAAAAGCCCTTATGGATTAAAGGCACCTGAACCAGATCACGTGTCCAAGATGCCATTATCACAAAACGGCAGCACTAACAGCAAAAGTCCATGTCTGATTTTGTTGTTTTCGCTATAATGTTGCAGTGTTTTACTTGGCAATGTTTTTAAAAATACTTTTAATTTTGGTGTTTTATATGGCCTGTTGGTTTAGCAGCATAACCCATGGGGATGTTTTTTTATCCCCACGGGGGATAAAAGTAATCAGCTGAGGCAGGGATGCATAGATTGGCTTTTCAGCAAATATTGATATGCAGTGGTGGACAAAGTACACAAATCAAGTACTTGAGTAAAAGTACAGATACGTATAATAAAATATTACTCCAGTAAAAGTACTCCTTTTTAAATTTTACTCAAGTGAAAGTACAAAAGTACTCGATTTTTTATGTACTTAAGTAAAAAAGTACTGATAGATAGATTTATTTTGCAATTTTATATAGGCTACTTAATTTAATTTTATATTAGCACTTATTTTTATAATCCCACTGCTCAAAATACCTGGGATTTTCCCAAAATAATATTTTCATAATGATTTTTTCTTCTTCTCAAACCTTGTCTGTGGTGTAAAAACACCCCTGGCCAAATGCCCCCAGAGGGCATCACTTCCCACTTTGATAATTACTGTAGTTACCCCGTTCTGAACATCACATCCTTTCTTTTCCCCCTAGATGTAATCTATCTAGGTGGTTGAATAAAAATATTTGGACTTTATATCTAAAATATGTGACTAATTGACATTTAATTGATTCAGTTAGAATACAGTATCGATTGACTGCCACAATAATGCAGTGCAGAAACAGACAGTTTCTTCATATTTTTTGATTTGTGCTTGTACTTGTAGTCCGGTTTAATGGAGAAGTATTAGCATTTTGAGGATAGAGTGAGAAAGCTGCTAATGTTGCCGTGCGAAAGGGAGTGATGCAGCAGGAAAATCATTAACCATTTATCAGTGATGCCTTTGAGCATGCTCACATACAGACCTTAACATGCTGACAGTCATATTTTTTCCTGAACTGTTTCCTATGTAAGATACAAGAAGATTCTAGTGTCAAGTAATTTGTTCATCCACAGTGAATGTGAAAATGTGGTGTCACAAAAAACAGGGGGTTTCCCATATAGCAACGTAGCTTGCTGCTTAACTACTATAGAACGATGCTTCATTGGAGAAATTAACAAGTTAGTCACAACTGTTTCCCGATGCACATCAGTCATTTGAACCATGGTGGTTCAACAATGTTGGACTGTTGTTATTGTCATTAAGCAGTTGGTGGAGTAATAACTTCGGCTAATTAATTGGTTTCAGAATTATTTAATGTCAGATTATTGCTGTAAATAACAAATACTGTGTATGAGGACTACTATTTCTGTTCTTCATTTTTTTGCTTTTTAAAGTAGTTTGATTAAAATGCAGGTTCCCTCTTACATCGTACTCTGTGGTCCCCCCAGGGTGCTAGAGCACATTCACATCTGTGCACCCTTCAAAAACGCTGCTTTCATTCCCTTGACATTTTACCAGACAATTTGTATACTTATGGAATAAAAGATAAAGATTGTACTGAATGTTAGCTTGCTTATGATCTATGTAAGTTCTTGTCAAGAAACTATACTTCTAACCACAGGTTGAGAGCTGTGGTTCCGATCACACAATTTTGCGATGCTGTTTGCGAATGTTCATTGGAACCATGGTTTCAAGAAACACAGAATCGTTGAACTATGATAAAACTTGCAGCCATAGTTGGCTAATGATGTTTTTGGGAAATGCACCCCAAAGCTGTTGGGCTCTCTTTTGATGCACTGCAGCTGATGATCATAAAACTAAGAACAGAAATTTTCATGATTTAAATAATACTTCATGCTATTTTTGAGTGATTTTTAGGAGCAATTTGTCAGTCTCTTCTTGTCCATATTTGATGTTTCTGTAGAT